TGGCCTTTGGTTTTTTTTGCTCCTCGGTCGGGTTGTTTTCTCTTTGACACATTCCCCATTTCCATTCTCAATTTTATGTTGTCTGGATTGTGTATCGAAACATTCCTGACAGTCTAAACACTTTCTTATTCTGTTTTAAACTCATTTCTCCAATTTTTGTGCTATTTTCACATTTCTTGAGCGGTGTGAGAAAAATATTTCTCATCATTAGTGAAATATCTGTTCTCAGCAAATGATTGGTCGAAATTTAATTATGACGTTACGTTTTCTTGATTTCTTCTGAATTCGTCATGAAAAAAGGCGACCATGTCTAATGACGTCACATATCAAGAACACAACTTTCTGCAAATCTTTGAAAAGGCAGGATAAAAATCATTCAAACAGATTCCACCACTATCACTCGTGCATAACGATATTTTTCCATGCCAAGCAGTTAAATTTTAATCATTTAAAAAGCTCGGCAAGCATCGCGCTTTAAATATTAAAATTTAACTGTCTCGAGTGGATAAATATCGTAACACACTTGTTGCATTGATGGAATCTATATTTCTATTACCTATAAAAAAAAAGAAACATCCGGAGGCGGGCTTCAGCCAGTTTGTGAACAATAATGTATAATAGACCAGCGAAATGGATCCCACAAAAGAGTAGCAAACACTTGAGGTTTGTGACTGTCTCATTTTATAAACCAAAGTGTTATCCGGATGAACAATTGATTTGACTGTCTTGTTGGTGTCGTGGTAGCGTGCTTGCCTCGAGTGCGATAGGTTGTAAATTCGAACCTCGACCGGATTAAACCAAATACTTTGAAATTGAAATTTGTTGTATCGTTGCTGAGCACGCGGCTATTAGGAGATTGGTCGGTTCGCAGTCCGGATTCTATATCTGGGTTGGGGGACAGGTTCAACATCCACCCATCGTCATCATGATACAATGCATATAAGATAAGAGATGGAACTTGTTTTTTTTTATTTATCTCCCGTTAATCAGACAACAATTTTCGTTAGAAGATAATGAATGAAATGAAATGCAACGTGTGAATTTATTCATAAGTATGAGGATATGTAGATACTTCAGAAAAGTGTGATTATTGTCGCTATTCTGGACGTCCCTTTTGAGAACTAATTGAGAAAAGTTTAACTATTCATCATAATGAATATAATTACACGTTTTTAGATAAATAACGTAAATAAAATGTGCCATTTATCTGAAGCAACACAAGCAATTTAATGTGATATGATTTGATCTGCTATCTTCTGTCTAAGAACACGTTTTAAAATAGAAAATTATAATGTACTACAATTTAGTACACAGCTTTTAAAAACAGTTCAAGTACATACACTGTCAACTTGAACTAAATTTAATATGTACACCTGTTTGACATTTGTCGCCATCAAGGCCTTTACTTCCAATTGAACCCACGCCAACGTTAATACTCTAATCGCCATGATTACCATTTAAACCAGGAAGCCATTAACTCCATTTAGCAAAAATCAAAACAAAACAAAAAATGTGAGAATGACTAACAAAATGTTGTCTTGTTTGAATTGTTATAGATTATGTGATTTGTCTTGTTTTAAATTGTTATAGATTTTGTCATAGCGGTTTTTTTATGTCTTGCTGAGCGGTTTTGGTTGTGCACATCGTGGAAAGCAGTAAAGTTTACATAAAACTGCTAACATCTACGTTATTTGTTCGCTGATATGTAGTTGTCTCATCAGCAGTTATACCACATCCTTTTATTTTTAAATCAAATATCATGCGATTGTTAGTGTTAATTTTTTTGGCGAATCATAAGTCCTTCATGGCTTCAATGATCATTACATTGAACAGCAAATCGGAGGACTTACCTTGTTTGTATTGGATACCTAAGCTTCACAAAATTCCGTACAAACAACGGTACATAGCCGGCTCATCTGCATGTTCGACTAAAGAATTGTCCATTAGATTGACAAAGATTCTGTTCGCAGTGAAAGAGGGTCTTCAGAAATACTGCGAAACTGTTTACTCGCGTAGTGGAATTAACCATATGTGGATTCTAAAAAACTCTAAAGAACTTCTGGATAATTTTAAATCTCGATCTCTCTCTGAAATTAGTTCTATCAAATTTTTTGATTTTTCAACACTGTATACCACCATTCCCCATGTGAAATTGAAAAATTGTCTAAAAGAAATAATCCACAATGCTTTTCAACATAAAAATGGTATCATACGCTATAAATTTATTACTTTGGGATACCAAACGGCATATTTTGTTAATAGTGAACAAAAAGGTAAAACATGCTACACAGAGGAGCAAGTGATCAGTATGCTGGAGTTTTTTATTGACAACATACTTGTTGAATTTTGAGGTAGATTTTTTCAACAAACTGTCGGCATTCCTATGAGAACGAACTGTGCGCCTCTACTTGTCGACCTCTTCTTATTTTCATATGAGTCGGAGTTCCTTCAGACACTTCAGTCAAAAACAAGAAGATCAAAGAAGCAAGATCATTTAATTTCACATTCAGATATATTGATGATGTTCTTTCCATTAACAATCCAAACTTTTCTGATTTGGTTCCATTAATATATCCTCCAGAACTAGAAATTAAAGAAACAACAGACACGGCTTCCTCTGCCATATTTCTAGACTTATACCTTGAATTTGACCTTAGCGGTCATCTCCGTACCAGAATCTATGACAAACGAGACGATTTTAATTTTTAAATTATCAATTTTCCCCACCTTAGTAGCAATATACCAACTTCACCTGCATATGGAATATACATTTCCCAACTCATTTGGTATTCAAGAGCTTGCAGCTGCTACTCAGACTTTGTAAACCGTCACCAGCGTCTGAGCAGAAAGTTGATGAACCAAGGGTATGTCAAAGAACGTCTCGTCCTTTTTACTAAAAAACTCCATCGGAAGATACCAAGACCTTGTTGATAAATATTCCGTATCAACTTCACAAATAATACACGATGGTCTTGAAGTATAGATTCTAGGTACTGACGTTGTCTATCATCTTAATAACGTGTAATAGTATTCTTTTAGGCCAAGTAAATTTAATTAGTAGATTTTCATCCAAATTTTTGAAAAAAAATGGGGTGGGTGGGAGGATTTTATTTTTTATTTTTTATTAGATATGAAACGCTCTTGTGACGTGTTCTTCATATATGCAAGTGTAATAATAAGGTTCTATCATGTATATACATGTATAACGAATCAAACATACAAAGAAATGCAAAAACCAAAATTTGAAACAGGATGTTATTAATGAAACGAAATTATCGACAGTTACCGGTAACGAAAATGAACAAAATCCGGAAATCGTAAATTTTTCAAAATAAAAAAAATTGGGGCGGAACGATTTCAGAGGGGCGGACGGGGATGAAAATCTATCAATTAATTTTAATTGGCCTTATTTGTCTTTTTATTTTATTACTTTTACTGTTTTGCCTATTTATGGCAGTATCCATTTGACGTGGCTCGGTATTTGTACATCCTGTCATTGTGGTGTTGTGCAATGGTAAATTTGTGTATTCTTGTCTTTCGTTTTTGCTTATGTGCTTTGTCTATATGCCTTTGTGTTCGTCTTTGTTGACGTTTTTGTAGTGATTAAGATTATAACACAATGTTGACTGCTATACCCTTATTTTTGACATTTTTATCTATTATGTCTGTTTGTTTTGTTCACACATCGTTGTCAATATAATGGAATTTTATGCGACTGTCATACAAGTGAGAGGTTTAGCTAGCTATAAAACCAGGTTTAATCCTACATTTTCCACATAAATGTCTGTACACTGTTAGGAATATGACAATTGTTTTCCATTCGTTTGATGTGTTTGAGCTTTTGATTTTACCATTTGCTTAGGGACTTTCCGTTTAGAATTTTCCTCGGAGTTCGGTATTTTTGTTATTTTTACTTTTTACCTAATTGATTTGACAACTGAACTTGTCTTTCTAAACCGGGAGTATTCAATTTCAGGTTTTGTATCCATTTTACTATTACCGAAGTCTTTTACATCTAGTACGCTAAAGTAAAGAACTTTCAACATTTCTTTTACGGTAAAAAATTTAACGAAATCGTTGTAGACAAGATAAAAATAAAACGGGTAGAAAAACACGTTATACCCTAACATGAGGATGCTCTAAGACATATATGACACAAAGTTTTAAATTGTTTGATCTCAAAAGTTTTTGGAGACAATAACTATTGCATGGCACTTATTTTATGGTTAAGGGCTATTAAATCCATTAAACTTGTTTATACGACTACGCAGTATAAATTTATAGCGAAATGTGAATCTTTTTATTCAATGAACTTTCTGTTAACGTTTCATTAGAATATAATGTTGATCTCACGTAATCTATGTTATAATGTAAAGATGTCAATTGAGGATTCTCAGATGTCTTATAAGAGGTGTATGAGGGTGGGATTGAGGTACTCGATTTGACAATTATCGGTAATCCTCTTTTGGTAAAAAACGTTAATGCTCAACGTTATTTCATCGTTTAACGCTTACGCTGCGCAACAAGTACCATGTGACAAGAAGCTATGTATTGTTACTCTTATTTGACGACAAAAAAATTAAAAGAGAGCGTTTGACGAATGACGGTATGATCCTATCCTATCCTCATATATGTCACTTGACGAAAGAAAATTTCCTTATTAGTCCAATGGAAAATAGTTTTGTTTAGACAGCCGTAAATAAGAAACAACCTATATTTCAATTTCTATATCAAAGAAATTTTCAAATCTACTGCTTAAAATTTACTGCCTACCATTTAAAATATTCTTTAAAAAATATTTAAAACGGACTAAAGACTCAACATTGTAGTTGAAAATGAGTGAACAAATTCAACAGGTTAACATTGCAAAGGATGAAGACCGGAATAAATCAGAAATTCAAAGTAGAGAAAGTATTGAAACAAATTCGTGGAATGATAAATTTGCTGAAATTCGGAAAGCAAGTAGAAAAAAAGATAAAATAATTTTAGCCCTTGTTGTGATGCTGTTGATATGTTCTTTACTCGCAATTACGGTCGTTGTCATGTACTTGAAACATGTAAAAGGTAAGCGTTTTAATTTTCTGTAAATTACATAATTAGAGGCGGACGGATTTTTTTCCAGAAAATCGAGATTGGATTGTTTAATTCTCCAGAATTCGGGATGGAACTGTAAAATTCTCAGGATTTCGGGAATAGCAAATTATTTCTTCGGAAATTTTGAAATATAGGATTTGATGATATCGCGATGCGGGAATGGGTATATTTTTTTAAAGGAAATTCGGGTCTTTTTGTGCTTTTCTTTTTCGCCATGGCGTTGTCAGTTTATTTTCGACTAATACCTTTGAATGTCCCTTTGATATCTTTTGTCTTTCTTTTTGAAGAAACCAGTTACTTGATTTAAATAAAAAAAAATGAATCTTTCCCTTCCTTAAAACATACATTAGATATAACGTTTATATAAACTCTTTTTCTTTATATTTCAGAATATTTGGAAAAGAGTTCGGAACTAGAAAAGCAGATACAACAACTGGCATTGAATCATTCCGGTTTGGAAAGACAATTGTATTTGTCTAATCGATTAGGTAATTAGAACACATAATCATTCGAATCATAATTTGATTTTTTTAAATATAATAATTATCTTAATGTACCATAGGCTTGATATGTATATATGTGTGTTTGTAAATTAAGGCGAGTTTGAGTTTACACGATAAATTAAATATGTGCATTCTTTTTGGTTGCCATATATTTTGATCTCAATAAAGAATCAATTTAACAGCACTGGGTAATCATTAAGTTAATATTGGTGTTGTCAACGATTAACCGCATATCGAATACCAAAAACGATAACCGATTTACCGGAACTTTTTTTCGATTTTAATAGATTCAATATAAATGTGTATTGGACTCATTAATAAATTTTGTTGAATTTTCAAATGATTGTCGTAGTAATAAGTTTGACAGATCAATTGTCCACTAAAGTGATTGCTATTTTTAACCTTGAAAACATTTCAATTTTATAAAATTAATTAGCAAAACGACAACTTGTGTATTAGCTCGGGGCAAGATCTAAAGTTATTTTTTGGGCCCTTTATAGCTTTCTTTTTGGTGTGAGGCAAGGCTCCGTGTTTAAGGCCGTACTGTGACATATAATGGTTTACATTTACAAATTGTGACTTGGATAGAGAGTCATACCACATCTTCTTTTATCTATAAACATAGTTAGCCTACATGAATTTAAAATGGTGTCTTCAACCTATGCCAACATGCGATAAATATATATTCAACCTATGCCTACAAACAAAATACAATAGGTGTTGTTATGACAATTACTAATTAATAACAGTTAAAATTCATTCAGCATTTTTAATTATGTAAGCACTAAATATAACTTTTTTAAAAATTATAAACAATAATAAAAATTTCGACGAGATCAAAATTTTTTCTATCTTCTCAATCTGAAGTTATTTCAAACGTCATAGTAGATACTGTAGTAAGGTAGTGTTGAATTATTAAAACTAAAACTTCACCAGGAATGCTCAAAGTCAAGCCTTATTATGCCAAAGGATAAACTTCAATTTATCGTAATACCATGAAAACGAACATTTGTAGGATAATGTAAATAAGGCCGTTAAACGTCAACTTAACTACCGGTTAATCGGTGGAAAGATATTCCGAGTAACCGATTAAGCAAAGCTGTTCGATTTTACGACACTAGTTAATATACAAATTATTCAAGGTTTTTTTGCCTTAATTAGTGTGTAAATGTATCTCCATTTCGCTTAAGGATGTTCGTTCTCTTGTTTTTAAATTTTTGCCAGATATTCGGAAACCTCTGATTTTATTCATGTAGTGCCATTAAAATTGTTTGCCCGCTAACCCCTACTTTTCTTTTCTTAATTTTATTACATATAGTTTAAAAAGCCATATTTGAAAATCTTATGAAAACTTTGTTATTTATTATTGTTTTTGAAAGAAAAAAGTTGCCAATGTTAAATATATAAAAAATCTAGAGAGAATCATTTCCCGCCAAATTTTCAATGGCTGATATCTCGAAAACAAGCACACGAACTCTTCATTTTTTTCTGCTTTTTTAGTTCCTTTATTTATATACTATCAATTTATAACAGTTTTTTAAAATGCTTGTTATTTTGAAACAGAGTTGCGAACATCCTTAAATTTGAATATGCTAATTATATATTCAATTTACTGCTTCATTGATAGTTAAATGACATGGCAGCCAAAAAGATACATTAAAGGTATGTTTACGAATTCTCTTCTTAAGGGTCCTTACATAACATTTAGTGAAATTTAGGATGTCATCCGATTTTTTAAGAATAAATGCAAAAATGTGACAGTATGAAGCTATAAAACTATAAGAATATTTGGTATGATTGTCAATGAGACAACCATCCACATCAGTTTAAATGAGGAATATAAACGTAAACATATGTCAACGTACGACCTTAAAGTTTTAAAATAACTCATACCGTCTAGTTAGTTTTTTGATTTACTAAACAATTCAAACAAGGTAACTAACGGCATAATTAATACAGTGCAATATGCGAAAAAGAGATATAACAGATATTAACTAGCCAACGAAAACGACGACATAACAGGCTTTTGACATGAACCATTGACTAACACGGGATATAGTGTGCTAGATATATTATAGCATTAACATTCGTTTAATTTCGTGCACTACATCAAACTTAAATTGTATTATCTAAAGAGGTGGGGTGAATAATAGGTAAATGTGCAGGTTTGTCATCAATTTATTGCATCTTCGTAGAAGATTCTGAAATATTTGCAAAGTTTAGCGATCTCAAATATTGAATTATTGACTTTGCCTAAACAGAATTGCTTCATTAAAAATTTGTGAAAGAACGGCACCTTATTACTGTATTAGTGTCTGTTATAAATTTAATTTTGATAATCTGGCTCTCCTCTTCCTTCATGTAATGTGAAACGTGCTTATCATTCTGCGGAGAGCTTTGAAAATCTGGAGTTTTTTCTGTATATAATATTCTAGTGTTAAGTTTTCATAACAAAAAAAAAACGTTACCGTATAGACATATGTTAATTTTAATAGCATATGTCAATTCGTTGTACATCCAACGTGAATTTTGAAATCAAAGCTCCATTCAGAGATACCTGTGTGTGTGTGTGTTGCAAAATCTTTATTTTTCGTGTACTGTTTTTTTTTCCATTTGTTACGTAGTTATTCTTTTGGTCTTGATGTTGTCCTTTTTAATAGCTTCTTTTATGATTTGCAAATGTCAACTTGGTATCTCTTCTTTCTTTTTAAAATTTGAAACGTTCTAAACAAAATGAAACTACGGTATCAGATCAGGATATACCTATGATATGAGTGGTCAACCTTTCTAAAAAAGACGTTAGAATTTGTATAGATATGTAATGCATCATTGATCAGTTTGAGATATGCAGAAGAACGTCATAAACATGATAGAAGTGGCTTATATTCATCAACCCACAGACAATTCTAGTAAACCCAGTTAATGTGGCAAGTATAATGACGCGTACCCAGCATGTGAAAACCTCTTAAACGATAAATTGACGAGATATTGCTGCTGTACAAACTGCGATTGATAAATAGTTTAAAAATAATACCACATTAAAACAGGTAAAACAACTCATCAGCATAAAAAAAAGAGGCGACAGACACCAAGGTGATATTCTAACTCATAAGTCAAAACAAAATTACAAAGTCATGGCAAAAACCCTAAAAAAAAATACGAAAAGACAAACACAATTCGACATAGAAAAAACTGAGCAACATTTATACTTACGTGACTTATTTACAATTAGTTTTTCAGCTTGCAGAAAAATAATGTGTTCGTTTTTTTATTGACGTATACCCTACATATTTTTATTCCTAAAAAATAACATAATATTATAATTCAAAGGGTCCAAGATAAACATATCACACTATAGCCAAATTAAAATAAGACAAATCCAATGAACATTACAGAATACACTATACAGACAGTTCATGATGGAGCAACAAATACTTAATAAAACACTGGCCTTAAAGTAGATGCTCATAAAGAGACAGCATTTACTGTTAATGTTGTGGGACCGGTTATATTTCACGATGATAAAAAGTTAAATCTACATATAGATAACATAGGTATTTCTAAATTAATCATATAATGAAATGCTCTACATATTTATAAAAGGTAGCAGTGACCATGGGAATCTCTCTAAAGGCGAAAAAGATTCGCGAGGCGAAAGGGATCCTGGTGGTCATAAGGACATTGCTGGTGTTAGGGGAAGACAAGGCGAAAAGATTAATAACGGTGAATACGGGTTAAAAGGTGAAACTGGAGACAAAGGTTCAGCTGGTAAGGGACAACTCGGAGATATAGGTCTAATAGGGGGAAATAGACAAAATGGTACGAAAGGATCAAATGAAGAAAAGGGTGCAATAGGTTCAAAAGGTTTGGCTGACAACAAAGGTACCATCGGAGATGAAGGTCCAAGTGGAAGAAAAGGCGAAGTCGGAGAGAAAGGCGCAGTTGGTGCGAATGGTTCACAAGGAAAGAAGGGTGTCGATGGTGAAAATGGCATAACTGGTATGGTTGGACCTACCGGGAGAAGAGGTTTGACTGGAGAAAATGGATCAACTGGCGATAAAGGGCTGAAATGAGAAATATGAGACAAAGGCTCAACTGGCAGTAAAGGACAACTCGGCGATATAGGCCCAATTGGAGGAATAGGACAAAATGATACGAAAGGATCAAAAGGAGAAAAGGGTGAAATAGGTTCAACAGGTTTGGCAGGTGACAAAGGTAGCCTCGGAGATGAAGGTCCAAGTGGAAGAAAAGGGGAAGTCGGAGAGAAAGGCGCAGTTGGTGCAAAAGGTCCAAATGGAAATAAAGGTGTGGATGGTGAAAATGGCATAACTGGTATGGTTGGACCTACCGGGAGAAGAGGTTTGACTAGAGAAAAAGGACCAACTGGCGATAAAGAACTGAAAGGAGATATTGGAGACAAAGGCTCAACTGGCAGTAAGGGACAACTCGGAGATATAGGCCCAATTAGAGGAATAGGAAAAACTGGTACGAAAGGATCAATTGGAGAAAAGGGCATGCATGGCGATAAAAGATCAATGGGAGTAAAGGGTGCAACAGGTGCAAAATGTTCGGCTGGCGAAAAAAATTAATATCGGAGATATAGGTCCAAGTGGACGAAAAGGGGAAGTTGGAGAGAAAGGCGCAATTGGTGTTTAAGGTCCAAATGGAAACAGAGAAGTGGATGGTGAAAATGGCAAAAAGCGGGAAATAGGCCAGGCTGGTATAGTTGGAACTGCCGGAAGCAGAGGTTTGACAGGTAAAAAAAAACAACTGGCGATAACGGATCGAAGGGAGAAAAAAGACTTCATGGCCTAAATGGTGAACATGGCGAAAAGGGTATCAAAGGTGAAAAAGGAATAATGGGAAATAATGGTCCAGTTGGCAACACAGGACAAAGGAGTGAAAACATTAAAATCACGTTAAATTGAAGATAACAAGGATGTGTTTTGTTTTCCATGTTTCAAAAGTTATATACTAAATACTAGAAGTATTATTAATATTTAAAAGTTTTTTTTAAAGGTCTCATATGATAAAAAAAAATGTCTTCAATATTCCATCATTATCAAATGAAAGATCATTGTCTTTTTTCTTTGACACAAAAGACACATATCTAACAAACAATGTATTTTTCTTGAATGAATGACAAAGATGAATACAATTATCAATACCAGTGTTCAATATTATGAACATTCTTGGCAATTCTAATTAGTCTTTGTTTATTTTTAATGACAGTTGACGTAATAGAAATCCACATTATGAAACCGAAGAATATCAATGACTTGCACTTACTGTTATATATTAAAAATTGTTAATTAAAATTAACCGTTAACAACACTTTGAATTTTTCGAAATACTAAGGATTTTCTTCTCCAATAACAGTTTACTTCAGTTGTATTTGGCCAACCTTTCGAAATTGTGGGTCCTCGATTCTCTTCAACTTCGATTTTTTTTAGTCTGTTCTATTTTGTTTATTCGAGCGTCACTGATTAATTAGTCTTTTGCAGACGAATCGCGCGTCTGGCGTTCAAAGTTTTATGCCTGGTATCTATGATTAGTTTGTTAACTGCTGAATAATACATTGCAATGAATGCTTAGCAAATAATGGTACCAGGTCTCATGCAGATTGTAGTCATGATATTCCTTATAATATTATAATATTATCTTCCCTTCGTCTTTCTTCCAGTAGAACCATTAATCAACACCATAAGTACTTACATAAGCAACATGACGGGTGCCACAAGTGGAGGAAGATCTGCAAACTTTTCCCGAGCACCTGAAATTTTGATGGTTTGTGTTGTTCAGTCATTATTGCTCTATGATGTGTTTTGTATACTGTAGTTTGTCTTTTGGTCGTTGTTTGCCATGCCGTTGTCAATTCGTTTTTGAAATTATGAGTTTCCTAATTTCTGTGGTATCTTTCGCCTCTCATTTATATAAATGACTTCGTTGTTTGCAATGCCGTTGTCAATTCGTTTTTAAAATTATGAGTTTCCTTATTTCTGTGGTATCTTTCGCCTCTCATTTATATAAATGACTGAAGATAATTACGATGGATGTAACATTTTCTCCGTTTTGAATAATTTGTATTATCATTTACACCAAGATGTCGTTAAATGAAATTGGATACTCTGCATTTATCATGCTTTTCAATAGCATATTGTCAAATTGCTGAAAGACCCCCTCCTAAATTATTGAAAACTTTCATTCTCCATTGACAATAATTATCTTAGTGTTAATTAGAAAAAAAAAACATTTGTGCTAACGCCCTCAAGGTGTATATACTACTTGTCTTCATTTCAAATTACAGGAGCACGAGGACAAACTGGTGAAAGGGGACAACCAGGCGAATCAGGTATCAAAATACATTGTAGATAATCATTGCAAAGTTTTCTTTCCGAAATGATGTGATAATGAACTTTCAGAGCTAAATATGTTGAAAGTTAAACAACAATATAATGGAAACGAATTTAACCGAACAAAACTCGTTCATAACAATGTCGTTGAAAAAGACAGACCGTAAACAAAATAATAAGGAAAGCAATGTCACTGTATTTAAGTAGAATTCCTTTAGTGTTCGTATTAAATTTTGTCATTTTATTAACCAAGGAAAGAAATAACTTTGAAATGTTGCAGTTATTCAAATCATATACGATTAATTGAACAAAATTTAGAAATCATCTAGCTCAATGCAATTTAAGGAAGAGATTTAATCAAGTACGTCCGCTTTTCATACTGATATTTACTGCACATCCTGTTTCCGTCCTAAAAGCTTGTATCCGACAATAACCTGTTGTGATCATTTATTTTTTTAAATTTCAAAAAGTAATTCAAACTATTAGTTTCATCCTATTCTTGCAAACAATATATTCTGGTTTTAAATGCTATTTCATAGATACATGTTTAATTGCTCTAAAACAATGTCTTTGACGCTGTTCTTTAAACTATATGACAATTACCTGAGTGTTGGAATAATATATGCTTTAGAGTAGTGCAAACTATTACATGCAGTTTCATCCTATTCTTGCGAAAAATATATTCTTCTTTGTAAATACTAATTCATAAAGACATGTTTTAATTCTCTAAATCAATGTCTTTAAGTACCAAGTCAGGAATATGACAGTTGTTTTCCATTCGTTTAATGTGTTTGAGCTTTCGATTTTGCCATTTTATAAAGGTTTTTCCGTTTTGAATATTCCTTGAAGATAGGTATTTTTGCTATTTAACCTTTTAAACCAAATGAAGTTCAAATATTTGTGTGTTTTTTTTTCAGGCAAGACGATAACCTGTGGAACAGTTTATGGGGATATGTTAGTACTTTCAATTAAGGTCCAAAAAGACATGGAATGATGCAAAAGTGAGATGATTAGTATACAAAGTGCATTGCTTTACGTTTCTGTATATTGACTATTGACGTCTGCGTCGTAATCAATAGTTTATTCAGTGATATGTTCTATTGCAATTCAAATGTAATCCGATTGATATGTGCAGATGATATAAACACATCCATCGATTTTAACTGTTCAAGCTAAGAGATTCAATGTAAAAACAATCGATTGAAAGACTTATGGCGGAATCATTACATGAGTGTTAAAAAATTACAACAAAATTACACAATTTTAAAAACTATCATAACAAATTGATGGAATTCAATTGAATGTACTTGACAGTATTTTGCCTCTTAATAAGATTTTTGGGACATCGGAAAATAAATATGAAAGCCATTACTTTTAAATTTTTTAACATAATTGGGATGTTACACAGTAAAAAAAAGTTATGGGTAATAAACGAATAGAAGAACTAAACAAATAGCGATCTGAAAAAAATCAAACTTTTTACCATCAAAATGCTGTATATATGGTCAAATAAGGATGGTTTAGTTTTTTTTAGTTGACAACAAATCCTGATAAAATAAATAATTAGCTGATATCTGAGTAAATTCTTTCCTTTATAGTATAGCTGGAAGTAATTGCGTGTACCATCCGCTAAAATGTAGAAATATAGGTCAAATTTGCAGTGGAAACTTTAGGCGGCCATGTTGAAATCATTGTTTGCATATGTTACACAACTTATCAATAAATAGGAAAATTTAATTTGAAAAGCTTTTTGAATTATTGAAAATATTAAACACTCGTCCAATACTAACATTGCATTTGAGAATTTTTTTGTAGAATGATTGTCATAGAATGGGAGGATTCCTTGTAAAACTTGACAACACTATTGAGAGTTGGTTCCTCAATTTTGTTTAGAACAGCCGGTAAGTTCAAAATAAACAAACTACTAACTTGTACTTATCTACCCCTAGTGATCACTAATTTAATTTTGCATTAATTTATCTATTTTGTCTAGTAAAAAAAAATGATAATTATTGTTATCTTAGAGTGAATATATATTGATTCTTAACAACTTAAAATCGAAAACGAATAAAATTTATCAAAACTATGGAGTAAAAAAAAGAGCAAAGAATTCGCTGCGTGTAACAGCCCGGCTTAACGTCACTTAACTTGGTAGAAATGAGTTAATAACATAAGTGTGTTCTCACAATGGATATTATATACATGGAAGTTTTGAGACTTATTTACATCAAAACAAATGTTCTTATGTAATGCAAACATAGCAGAAAAGATAGAGAGCAATTAAAATACCCCCTAAAATGTAGGACAAACACAAACAATACCTTTATTATCAAAGACAAAAAACACACACAAGTCCATAAAACTCTTCTAAGAAAACTATCCACTTGGCAATACAAAACCAACAAAATTCTGGTGTGATTTCTGGTGATTCGGAAGGGTAAGTAGTTAATCTGCTACTAGTCACGAATATGGTTTTGTGCTGTTGGGAAATATTTGCAACTGCTTCTATATAAAAGGTGCAGAAACATCATAAAGAGATTTTGATGATACAGACTATAACTATGACTGTATCTACGCCGATAAACGAAGATAACAAAAAGAGGAAAAAGATATCAAAGGGACATTCAAATCTACGAAGGGATGATTTCAACTTCACCACTTGGAACACTTGGTTTAATAGCTTCCTAGTGAGCAGCTACCCTCTATTAAGGAAATCACGA